AGGGGCACAAGGGTCTTTTCCCTTCTTATTTCTGCCGCCCTATATATATTATAATAAAAGCTGGCGCTGCCAGCACTGTTACATTGCAAATCCCTTCTCTTCTCTTCTCTTCTCCCTTCTCTCTTCTTCTTCTCTTCTCTTCTCTTCCTCTTATTTCTGGCCGGCCATACTGTCAAGAGATACAATCTGGGAAATCCTATGTTTGGTCTTTAGTGGATAATCACCAATCTGTTCTTCACGTGTAGAAAGATTCCTGTTCCCTCATTAGATGTCCCTAGTGTTGATAACGTATTGTTCTGAGTAAAAAGAGGTTTAGACTGGTCCCTATGGTTTTACCTTCTAACCTATTCTAATTAATGACTGATCCTGCATGGATATGCCCCATAAAATTCCAGAAAAATCATGAACTTCTACACAGCTCCTTAATGTATTTTATTCTATTGAGATCATAGTGAAGACTTCTAGATGGCCCTTGGTTAGGACTGCAATTCCCCCTTTTTTGTTTTTTTGAATAAGTAATAGAAATTTCACTAGATAAAGCAAAAGCAAATAAATTTACAATCAAAACTTCCCAACTGGAGGCATGAGTTGCAGCCTCCAAAACAAAAAAATAAGTTACACCTGAGCACAATACAAATGATCCCATGTAAGTGGTGTAACCCCTTTCTTAGCTAAATAATCTGCCATCCCATTTGTGGATCTCCTTTCTCATTAGATCCTTATAAGCATATTTATGGTTAGCAACTTAAATCACTTTATAGCCTCCGTGTAATTCCATATTACTGCATCCGATTCCTTCAACCACTCAACTACCAGTTTAGAGTCCCCTGAAATGAGTAGTCTTTCAATTTGCAATCTGTAACATTGCTTAAATCTCTGCATTTGTGGAGGCCCCATCCCTGTTGGACCCGAATATAAAGCAATAATATGTTCGTCTTTATTTTTGAATACTCCTATTCTAGACGACCCTGGGTTTCCTAACTTGCTGCCATCAAAATAGAGTTTGGTGATATCTTCTTCAGGAGGTACCCAAACTGAGGTGACCCTTTGTTTGTTAGCTGAACTTTTTGCTACAGCTTCCCAATTCCTCCAAATATCATCATGAGAGAAAATATCCATGTCTTTCTATCCAATGTATAAACCTATGCACAATGCAGTCGAAATTTCACCCTCATCTCTTTTCCTTTCAATGAAGATTTTTGCATTTCTCTCCTCCCAGACTGTCCACACTAGAGCAAGCCCTGAGGCCTCTGACACATCTTACATGATTCTCCCCCTCCTCTTTAGACCACATGAAGGTGAGTCAAATAAGCTACTAATCTGTAAAGGCAAATATCACCTGCACCAAAAGAGCAAGAAAATCTTTCTAAATGCCTACAACAAAAGGACAAGAGATTAATAAGTGGTAGCAGCTCCCTTTACTAGTCTAGACCAGATTTCTTTAGAGGGGAAGGGTTGGGTTCTGGGTAGTGGGAGCAAAACATAGAGTCAAGAAAAAGGAGGCATAAGAAAACAACCTTTTTGGATTGGGAGTGCATACCCGACTATCTGGTTCAGAAAGGTCCAAAATGAAAGAATCAAGAGCTTTTAACAAGAAAGCAATTATTTCAAGCTCAAGGCCTCTCAACCCTCTTCTGGAATCCAGATCCCAACTTATACCAACTGACAAAGAGAAAGAAGCAAACTTTTGGATATGTTCCTTTTTAAACAGAGAGAGGGAATACAAAGAGGGTCTCCCTAAGATAAGAGTTACCAACCCAAATATCTTACCAAAAGAGTAAGCCTTAACCAAACAGGAATCTGCATCTCTTCATAGAAAACCATGGGTGGAGCTTATCTCTGTGCCTAGAAGCATGCAAAAGCACAATGAAATAAATAACACTGGATGGAGCCTAATGAAATTTGCAGTTATTGATAAAAAAGAAAGAAAACACTGGATGCTCATAGAAACAATAGACACTGGTTAACTTTGTGCAGTCCAACACAACAATTATTTAAATCTGCCTGAGATTATTGATTACAATGCTAAAATTGCAAGTATTTGAAAAGAAAGGTTGTGTAATGGGTTGTGTTGACCTTTGTCTCATAACATCTAAGAGGAGTACATTGTCTGAAGCATGGATTTTTAATTTTCTAATAAAAATATGCATGCTTGACTATTTCAAATGCTATTTTCTTGTCATTACATTTTCAGATTTAAAGTTGTGTTATCCAAATCAAAGGCACTTCTTCTGTTTGAGTGATCCTGGATTATGCCTAGGTCAGTGTCTCATTGCTGGAGTGTGATCCCTCATATAAAGTACTATTAACTTTTAGTATAATCATGTTTACTCATGTTTCTGTATGTTGAACTGTCTTCATCTCTAATACCAATCATAACTCACTTATTATTCTATTAGTAGATATTTTGAATAGTTCTAATACTGATTTGAAAACTTTTGACTTGAATTAATGCAACTTAAGAATATTGGATTTTCTATTCCTGAAAATTGGGGTTCTTGGTGATTGTGTCCCAACTATATTTGAACTATTTCTCAGCCTTTTCATTTTCCTTGTATTAGGTAATTAGAAGTTCTTATTTTCATTTTGCAGTTCATTGGCACACCACATTGGATGGCTCCTGAAGTTATTCAGGAAAGCCGCTATGATGGGAAGGTAATGACTTATGCAAGGTGCTATTTTCTTTTTGTTTCCTTTTATTACTTTCTTGATGACTTTTCCACATCTTCTATTAATAATAAAGTTAAAAAAGGACGTCTGGCATGCATTTGAAGTTGTCAACTTTATTCATATACATTTTCAACTGAAATGTGTACATAGTTTTTGTGCATAGACTTTTGATAGGAGTTGGGATTTTGATGAAGAGGTTGTGAAGTCAAAGGACCTTTGACTAGTTTCATCAGATTAAACTTGGAAAGTTATAATTGAGTTTTTTGCTGGTTAGGAAGGATGAGGGACTGGGAAGCTGTGATTCACAGTTATGGGCCCTCAAATCATTTCTTGCTGCACATGCCCTCTTTAGTCTGCCTCTGCCCCCAGCTCTTCTAGCCTTTTCAACTTGTAACAGATCACTTCTATCTGGTTCTGCAGATGGTGTTCTAGACCAATGTTTTAAAACGTGGAGGCGTGATGCGAGGTGTTCCACTATCTAGAGGCGTGGGGCGTAGTTCAGAATGTAAGAGGCGTAAGCCTCCTGAACACAAGGAGCCTCCTTAAGAGGAGGGGGGATCTCATTTTTTCTTTATTTTTAATAAAAATCTTTTATATTAAGAAGAATAAAGACGCATCCTCTAACATACAAAAAAAATCAAATTGGGCCGCATTGAAAAGGGGGCGGGGGGGTGAAGCCCCTAGCCAAAGGGGTTGGGGGCAGACCACTTTCTTTCCCCTTATCTTTTCTTCCCTTCGCTTTCCTTTCCTCTTTTTTTTTTTTCCTTCTCTTTCTTTCTTTTTCTTTCCCTTCCCTTTCTTTTCTTTTCTTTTCTTTTCTTTTCCTTTCCTTTTTTTTTTCTTTTTTCTTTTTTGTTTTCAGTCTTTTTATATGAGGTGTGCATGAGGCGTACGCCTCAGAGGTGTCAGCGCCTCTCGCATACGCCTTAGGGCATTTTGGGAGCGCCTCCAGGCGTACGCCTCCCACACCTTTTAAAACACTGTTCTAGACATGTGACCAAACCATCTTAGGTGGCATTTTTTTTTTGATCAGCAAAGGTGATTTTATTAAGAAAATGATATGAAAATTAGTACAGAAATTGGGTAGCCTTGGCTACCCCATTATCCTTTAAAATTCCACCTGAGATTTTGCTTTACATCCTTACAACTGAGCCCAAAACAATGTTCCCTATTAGCCCCTTGCTTCGCTAGCTGGTCTGCAAACCCATTTGCTGCTCTTAGAGTCCACTGAAATAATAATTGCATGTCCTTGGTAATGTGATTAAGTTTCTTGATCTCATTTCTGAACACCCATGGAGTCTTTCCATTCTGCTTTAGCCAGCTTATAATTACTTTGGAATTGCCTTCCACAACCAGCTTTCTCACACCTATTTCCATGGCTTTTTGTATTCCAAAGACCACTTCTTTTAGTTCAGTTGTAATGGAGTTTCCCCATCCAATAGGGCCCGAATACAGCCCCACTACTTTCCCCATGTCATCTCTTTTGACTCCACCAATTCCAGCCACACCCGGGTTGCCAAAGCTGCTCCCATCAAAGTTTAATTTGAGGAATCCAGATTCAGGAGGATCCCAACTTCTTAGCATCTTAGATGGCATTTGGTAAATCTGAAGTCTGAAGTCTGAAAGTCAAAGCAAAAAAAAAAAAAAAAAACTCTGAAAAAGCTCTGTAAGTATTCGGTGGAAAATTTGCTTTTATGCTTTTGCAGACATCAAAACATAGTGGGTTGTTCAGTAATCTGAATGTCGTGATGCCTGAAAAGCTTGAATTTTACAAATTTGCCCCTCAAGTCATTATTGAAATAAAGTAAAGGAGAATGATTAAAATAATATGATATTAAAAAAATATTATAAAATAATATAAAAATATAAAATATTGTAATTGATATCAAAATATTAAACAAATAATAAAAAAGACTAATAAATAATATTTAAAAGAGTAATACTATAAAATAATAAAAAAATTAAAAACAATAAAATTTAATAAATAATACCATTAAAAATTAAAAAATAATTTAAAAAAGATAAAATAGTAAAAATTATTACAAATATAATAAAAAATGTAAAAAATAGAAGAATTAATAAAATGGGATTGACACTTAACAACAGTTGCAACAATCAGATTCCAGCACTATTCATTGTCTTCCCAAACTAGAGTTCAACGCCACTCCAACCTGAGGTGGTGAGATTCTCCACCTCTTGCAAATCAGATACCATCACTGTTCATCCATTGTCCCCAACCTCTCACAAATCTGATACCCTATTGTTCATGATCTTCTCCATTGCAATGTTGAGCCAGAGGTGGTGAGATTCTCTACCTCACCGAAATGTTGAGCTGCAAATTAGAAATTTTTACCAATTTATTTAAGAAATGAAAGAATATGATCGAAAAGAAACAGAAATAGAAAATTTTACCAAATTTTTACCCTACAGTTCGTACTCCGAGTATGCCATCACCTGCAACTACTCCTTTGCCGGCAACACCATCTGCCATGTAATCAACATTGTTTTTTTCCTTCTCTGATAGGGATGAAACAGAACAGTTGACGATCTTGGGTTCGAACCTGGTTCATCTACTCCTCTGTTCAAACCCACTATCGACATTTTGGGTTTGAACCTGGTTCATCAACTCCTTTGTTCATGGCAGAGATGAGGGAGAAAGAAGAAAGAGGGAGGAAGAGAGAGAGGGGGGGGATATTTTTGGTGTTCGGAGGTTGATTCAGCGCTATTGAATGCCACCTTAGTTTATTTCCCCTCATTTTTATTGGAGCTAGTCCTTGGTTCAAAAGTTTATTTATGGTTATCCCTTTTAGTTTTCCCACTCATCCATCTTAGTATTCACATTTTTGCTACATTGATTTTTTGGACATGCTGTTTCTCTTTCTTGGCTGCCTAACATTTAGCTCCACAACATTTCTGGCCTTGAAACTTTTTTTTGTAAAATTTTCCTTTTGGCCAAGTGGTGTTCTTCCATCAAATGGGACTTTAGATGCATCTGTCACCCTTTGATTTTGCCCATCCTACTCTTATTCCATGGGCAATATCCTCAATCTCATTTATCAAAAAAAAAAAAAAATCCTCAATCTCTCTCTTGTTATGGATTACCTAACCAAGGTAATGAAAAAGTCATGTTGAGATATCTCCTGGTCTCCAATCCTAAGTGTACCCTGATTTCATCATGTTAGGGCATTGAGATGTATTGCATACTTGAGGTGCACATTAATGAAGAAAGGTTTGGATGATGCTTTCATAACATCTGAAAACATGAAACCTGGCTTTCTGTCAAAACTTTTCCCAAATTGGTTGAGCACTCTTCTGCAGTTTTCAAAACCAGGTGTTGGTTCACTGGTTCAACCATCCGGATTGAACAGATCAGACCGCTAAAGCACTACTACCCCTTAGATCAGAATAGTAGATTAGATTTCATATCTTTACAGTCTTTATCCTTAGAGTTGTTGCTGCTGCCATTGGCATTGGCTTACATTGCCATTGTTGTCACCCTATGTTGCCGCTATCATCAGATAATCTAATAAGCCTTTCTCTTTGCCATTGTTATTGGGGGTTGTTGGTTACCATCTCTCTCCCCCTTTCTCTTTCTATTCATAGTAAAAGCCTGCATCATTATCTAACCCCTCTCTCCCTATACTATATAGAACAAATGAGCCCGTTTTCTTCTTTGGGTAATGGTCCAACCAATTAGGCCAATGACAGGTTGCAAACACTTCTCTGCTGTATTCTTTGGATTTTTTCAAGATCCTTTCTATTACTTGTGCGGTAACATGTACAATATTCTGGAGTTTCTGAAAGTCATTAGTTATGCCTACAAAATTCATTGCATACTGCATTTGCTGGTGTTACCAGTAAGTATCTTGTGACTGGCTACAAATAACATTTTTATATAACAGGTAGATGTGTGGGCTCTTGGTGTGTCTGCAATTGAAATGGCAGAGGTATGCATATTCAATACTTAAATTTGACTTTTTCTTTGATTGGTAACTGGATATTTTATTAATTAATGAAAACTCAGATCATAATTTACAAGCAAATGTGCCAAGTACTCCAAGACTTTTTTTTTTAATAAAATTACATCAGCTTTCTATCTCAAAAGCATTAGGTTCCCCATTGTCATTACCCAATACAGGTTTTCCCTGTTAACCCTTGCTAGTCTAGGGCATCAGCCAAGCAATTGGCTTGCTTCTTTGTCCATAGAAGCTTAACTCTTATGCCTTGTGCGGTGGCCGGGAAGGTGTTTAACTGGGTAAATGTATTTACAATGGTATCTACAACCTGGGGAAGTGTTACCTGGGTAAATATGTAAATACATTTACCTGTGTTCTTTTGCTAGGAAATGTTAGCTGGGCAAGTGAATGCCAGGGAAGTTGGTCAACTTCCCTCCCTCCCAACTTACCAGCAAACAAACAGGCCCTTAATTCTTATGCCAGCGTCCTTATTTATCTCCAGACACATTGATGTCACCAAGGTCCTAGATTGTTATTTACTTATTAAGCAAACAGGTTATTACTACTTTGGAATCACTTTCCACAATCAGATTTCTAATGTTTGGGCTGCGTTTTGTTTGAAAGAAAGGTAGGAAACGTATAGATTTGTATAGGTTTCCCTACCTTTCCCTACCTCTTCTTTCAAACCAAACACAGCCTTGGTGTCTTTGCCAGTTTCAAACGCTGGTGTACTGCCAAGAATTCAGCCTTTAATGAGTCCCCTTGACCTGCAGGGCCCTAGTACTAAGCCAACACTTTGCTATTGCCATTTCTGAATACACAACCAGTGCCAGATGTCCTGGATTATCCATGCTGCTTCCATCAAAGCTAAGTTTTACTAGATTACCACTAGGAGCTTTCCAGTTAGTGATACAGACCATCCTTGTGGTAGAAAGACTATTCCTTTTATGCTACCTCTTCTAGTATATTTATATTCTTCTAAGTTTATTATATATGAACGAATTTTGTATCTTATCTTATTGGATCATTCTCTAGAATCTTCTTGATATCTTATAGATTTGTTTTCTTGTTCTTATCAACTTTCAGGGACTTCCACCAAGATCAACTGTGCATCCAATGAGAGTCAGTACTTTGATTACTTTATGGATATCTTTTTTTTCTTGTTTTAGTTTTTATAACAAATTTAGCTCAATTTGCTTGATATTGTTCCGTTGATATACTAACCAGGCTTTTAGTTATGTTTTATATTTTCTTTGAGATTCTTGTCATTCAGTGGCCTGGCTATGTTCATTGTGATGCCTAACACATAATGCTCTTCATTTTGAAACTGCTTGTGTTGAGAACTTGAAATAAAATATGAACCATTTCCAAGATGTAGTACTGTTTTCATAGAAATGACTGTCTTAGCATCGTGGTTTTGTTACTTGATAATGTGCATAAATATCAGCTTATGAGCTTAGAAATAACTAAGAATAATGGATTCATAATGCCTTTTTTTTGTTTTATCAGCAACAGAAAATTTCATTAGTTGAAATTAGGTAATACAATGTGAGGCTGGAAAAATAAGCAGCAGCCTATTAACTTATAAGTAGCCCATGTTACAAGTTTGCCCAAAACAACTGCTCCCTATAAAATTGTTGTTTAGCTAAGGTTTCTGCCATTCCATTTGCAGATCTTCTCACCCATCTGAAGGTAGCATCAGTCTCCCTTGCCAACTTATCCATCTCCCTTAGAGATTGTGCTCCCTATAAAATTGTTATTTAGCCAAGGTATCTGCCATTCAATTTGCAGATCTTCTCACCCATCTGAAGGTAGCAACGATCTCCTTTGCCAACTTATCCATCTCCCTTAGAGATTGTCTATATATCCAAGCACTTTCCTTGTTGCATCTCATCCAAGAAATGACTAATTGTGAGTCCCTTCAACCTATACCTGCTTCAGCCCCAGTTGTTTGGCAAGTTTCAGCCCTTGTGACAAGGATAAAATTTCAGCTTTTGGAGAATCCCCATATCCATCTGTCCTGAATAATAGCCACAATTACACCATCTTCATTTCTAACAACTCCTCCAATACCTGAGGGTCCCGAGTTACCGAAGGAACTCATGTCAAAGTTCAGCTTTATACTGAAGGAATTCCAATCCATAATCATTACCTTTCCTAGTTGATGATGTAGCAACTGCTTCCCAAGATCTCATGATATCATCTACAAAGAATACTTTGGATGTCTACTATTCTCACCCAATGTGCCACCTTTACCTTTATGCTATTTATGAGTCTTCTCTTGTGCTACATTTCTCCTTGGAGATCCATTCATTCCTTTCTTTGCAGATTGATCATAAAACTTCTCTTGCTGCCTTTCATGTTATTCTTCCCCTCTTCTTAATTTGCCTCATTAAGTCATGATTGAATAGACTAGTGTTTTAAAAGTGCAAGACGCAAGGGTCAATTTGCGCCTGAGGCGCACATGCGCCTTTTTAAGCAAGGCACAAAAAATAAAAAAAAGTAAAAAAAATGCCAAAAAATTCAAAAAATTATTAAACATAATATTAACAAAAATATAAACTTAAATTTTAAAATAAATGTTTTAAAAAACCTATTATCTAAAATTAAAATACATAAGTATAACATGTAAAGCATATTCAAATGAGAATTTAAAAATAAAATCAAATATATAAAATATTTTCAAGCATATAAAACCCATAATCTCTCTCTCTTTCTCTAAATTTCATTACTTAAATTTGCTAATGTGATGTAAAACATATTACATTCTTGATTCTACGAGCCGCCTTTGTGCCACGCCCCTCAAGGCAAGCCCAAACAAATCCACGTTAGGTCTTAAATTCTTAGTTCTCACACAAAAAATAATGATTTTATAGTTTTAATTGCTTTTTAAGAAGATATTTTATTAGGATGAATGAATGAACAACATTACCAAATAGGGGGTTCGAGGGCGGAGCCCCTGGCCCAGTCGCTAGACACAAAAAAAGCATCAAATTTTCAAAAGGTGCACGCCTGGGCTGAGGCGCAAGGCGCACCAGGTGTGTGCCTTTTGAAAGGGTTGCACCTAGGACCTGGGCGGGGCGCCTACCCTAAAATGCGCCTCGCTTGTGCGCCTGGGCATGCCTTTTAAATCACTGGAATAGACTAGCCACATCTCAAGGGGTATCCCCACTTGCAACCAAAAAGAGAGCAAAAATACGTCCACAGGTTACAAAAGGATAGGAGATTAGTAAATGGGGAAGGGTCTCACTGCTAGCCTTGCAAAGAATGCATACATGAGGTGAAAGGAGAAGCTGAACAAAATTCAGTGATGTGTTCCTTGTGATATTGAGCGAGGGAATAAAGCAACAGAAACTACACATTTAAAGGAGCATCACCCAGCCAAAGATCCTCCGAAAAGAGGATCCTATTACCACTACCAACATCATATCTAATGAAACCCAAGAAAGTAGGGAGAAGTACCTGAATGTATTTCCAAGGGGATAAGTAAGATACACGAGGAGAGACTCATCCATCCTATCCATTGTCCATGACACCATGAATGCTCACGATAACCTTATGCCGCAGCCTGTCCTTCTCTAATGGGAATCTTCATAACCATTTTCCAGGCAATATTTCTATGAATCAAATTCCCTATTCCCAAGCTACCCTGTTCTCTAGGTTTACTAACCATGATATGGACGCGTTCCTCGGGAAGAAATATCATCGCCGCCGGCAGCAGCAGTGATCCGATGTTCTCATCCTATCCAATTCGGCAGCAACAGTCTTATACATTCGGCAGATTAGATTAGACTATCTTGTTGTTCTTATCTTATCATATTAAGTTAGTAGATTAGATTATCTTATCTTATTAGATTAGGATTAAGAGAGACTTATCTTATCCTATCAGTCTTATCTTATCAAGATAGAGCTGGAGGCCTCCCTATTCAGCAAGGAGTCTCCCTAAGAACAGGACTCTTGTAATCTCCTATTTAAGGAGCCACTATTATTGAATGAAGGCATTGAATATTCAGTCAAGAAGAGAGTAAGGAGAGTTGGTGATCTCTTGAACAAATCACCAAGGCGCCAAGATAGGTACCTCAAGAAAAGGAAGGGACAAGGGAAAACAGGAGGTTTTCCCCGTGGACCGACCCGTGACAAAATCCTATTCGCGGGCCCTCAACAACTTGGTATCAGAGCAAGGCGTCATGGGTGATCTGGAGCAGTTGCCGTCCAGGGTCCACGAACTCGAGCACCAGCTCGTGGGACCAGCTCAGATGTACGTGAGATCAAGGACAAAGTCAGGGAGCTACGACGTCTGATGGAGTTATTCCTTTCTAGCAAAGAGAGGAACACAGAAGGGGTGACAACCACTAGCGGCCGCCGACCAGATNAAGTCAGGGAGCTACGACGTCTGATGGAGTTATTCCTTTCTAGCAAAGAGAGGAACACAGAAGGGGTGACAACCACTAGCGGCCGCCGACCAGATCTGCCGGAATCTTCTGGCGAACAGCAGTGCGTCAACCAGGGGGCGCGGTCATTCCCAAGTACAACAGGTTGGAATTCCCGTTGTACAACGACAACGGAGATCCCTTGGGCTGGCTGTACCGGTGCAAGTAGTTTTTTTGAAATCAACGAACAGACGACCGGGACAAGGTAAGCCTAGCCGCCTTTCACCTAATAGAGGAAGCACAACTCTGGTTCTATTGATTAGAACAGGAAGAACCCGGGCTCAGTTGGACCCAGTTCTAGTCCTACTGCCTTGTTAGGTTTGGGCCCCCACTGACAAGCAACCCCTTAGGCGAGCTGATTAACCTTAAACAAACGGGCACGGTGGCAGAATACCAGCGCCAGTTCCAGACCCTCCTTGCCAGGGCATCTTCAGTGCGACCGGACCAACAGGTAGACATGTTCACCGCAGGGTTAGCAGAACCCCTGCGAGTGGACGTGGAGATGCAGAATCCCCCCAACTTGGTTACAACCATGAACTTAGCCTACGCGTTCGAGCGCAAGCTGCAACTCAGCCGCGGGACCTACAATATGGGACGTCCGCCGACTTCATGGGCACCCCCGAAATCAGCGACAGCGACCCCTTCTTCTGCAACCAGCCGGGAACTGAGGCCTCACACAAACAATATCTCCAGATCGACAACAAGTGCAGGAAGCAACATAGTAGCTCCACCCATTAAGCGTTTGACTAGGGCCGAGATGGCAGAGCGCCGAGCGAGGGGCCAATGTTTCAACTGCGACGATCTCTACTCGGTGGGACATAGGTGCAAGAGGCTTTTCTACCTCCTAGTGGATGAGCAAGAGGAGGACGAAGAAGAACCCGTCGTATTCGAGCCAGAGATCTCTCTCCACGCGATCACCAGAATAAAAACCTCTCAGACCATGCAGTTGCAGGCACAAATAGCAGGTAATCCGGTGCGCATACTTGTCGATTCAGGGAGCACACACAACTTCATAAGTGAGCAAGCCACCCTTCAGTTAAAACTACCAATGAAATTCCGGCCACGACTACAGGTAGCCGTCGCAAACGGTGAAAGGGTTCACAGCCCCGGAATCTGTAAGGACGTCCAGGTACAGGTCGACTCTGAACTATTCTCTGCTGATTTATTCGTACTTTCCTTGGATGGTTTCGATATCGTTCTTGGGGTCAAATGGTTGATCACCCTAGGACCAATTTTATGGGACTTTAGTGCCCTAACAATGACATTCCACTTGAATGGGAAGCAAGTCTCGTGGCAAGGTTGCAGGGTAAAGGAGAGGACACCACAGGTTCATGCGCTTCAGACAGAAACAACGCATACGACAACATGGAAAGACTCGCCGAATTTTCAGACGTGTTCTAGGAACCCAAGGGGCTCCCTCTTCCCCGAGCATGTGATCATCGAGTCCCTCTGGTGCGGGCTCAGAACCAGTCGTTGTCCGGCCTTATCACTACCCTCACCTACAGAAGGACGAAATAGAAAAACAATGTGCCGAGATGCTAAAACAAGGGATCATACACAATAGCCACTCCCCCTTCTCTTCGCCGGTTTTGTTGGTAGTGAAACAGGATGGAACTTGGAGATTCTGTGTTGACTACAGAGAGCTCAATAGCCGGACGGTCAAGGATAAGTTTCCTATTCCCGTTGTGGACG